ATGTATGGCTCTAAGGAAAATCACTAGGGAAATTTGAGGGGTGGATTAATGTGGGATATGTTGATATCCATCAAAAGAATACCCTTCCAGATTTGAAAAGTGATTACAATCAACAAGTGGATATCCCTGTGTGCTCCCAAGGTGGCCCCTTGGGTCCATGAAATTTGTGGGCATTTAAAAACTCAGCAGTACAGAGATAGGTTGAACCTAGACATATTCCTCTTGTACCCTCTGAAGCACAAAATGTCAGTAACTGTTCTGTTTTCCAACAAAAGAGACAGAGACTTAAATGGCTGTGTGGCAGATTCCTCAGGGGGAAGGCCCTGAACACAGCTGGCAAGTCAGACTGATGCTGGTAGCCCCAGGGTATGAGTTTCATCAGCAGTAGACAATAACTCTGGATTGGCCTTTGCTTACACAGTTGTTGATGAAAATGCTCAGAATGTAATAAAAGAACTGGAACAGAATATACTGCACCAATTTAGGCTGCTGAGTCACAGTTTTTCAGACCAAGAAACACTTTATAACCCATAATGTCCAACAATGGGCAGAGATATATCCTCCTAAGAATAATAGAAAGAGAAGAGGAACAGGCAATTGAAACATTGGTTGCCTAAAATGGGGGCAGACATAGGGATGAAGGACTGGCTTACATGCCTTCACAAGCTCATACTCAATATGGGGGGTGGGGCTAAGGAAGTGTCCCCACTAGATAGACTCCTCTGTTTTTCTTGTGAGTCTGAGGAAGAGGAGTTGGGGAAGGATGCTAGTATGACCGCAATTCTTTCCAAGGGGGAGGACACTGGTATGATGACAATATTTCTTATTTTTTTCTTTCCTTCTCATATCAGCTCAACTTAATGTTTCCTACCTGATGAAACATAAGCAAGACCATGGCTGCAACCACAAGTGTTAGAAACAGGGCTGATTCCTAAGCAAGAAACCTAACTATATTTTAAAATCTTTATGTCAGAATTCCTAAGGGCCTCATGTGGGCAGGATGTGTCTTTACCCTATCTAGCAAAAGTGGGGTTAAGAGTAAATGCAGCTGCATTGCTTGCTTAATGGTCAAGATAGTCCACTAGTTCTGTATCTATACAATACTACCTTATATAAATGGGAGTGGACTGAGGGGGAGGCATTTGCTAGATTAGTATTGGCTGTTATCTGGACCAGCACCTAATGTTCTTTCAAATGTGGAAGTTTGGTTATAAATAGAAAAAAGGAGGAATAGTAGATGAGAGTAAGGAATGAACAAATGAGTTATGCAGTAAGGGAAATCCAATATTACATCAATACCTCAAGAGTTTCAGAGCAAAAGATGATATTGTCTCTTACCTCAATTATACCAGATCCTGAAAAGGTGAAGCCATATATTGCGGAGACCACTCCTGCTTTTGGAATCTGACCAAATAGAAGCCTGGAAACCTCAGTGGCCTTACCCTGGGAGACAATTTCATGATGCAATGATGAACTGGACAAATTATTAATGACTGAAGGGGACTTCAGTAATGTGCCAGTATTTTTTAACCATTATGATCCTTTTGCTATATTTGAGATCTGTGGTCAAACACCAGGGATCTTTACACTATGGTATAATTAGAAGTGTATTTAGTCTGAGGTTCCTGGCACAAGGGTCCTAAAAGCCTTAGGAGAAAAGAATGGGCCAAAGACCTTAACAGAAACCTTATCAAAGAAGATATAGGATGACAAATACACATATAAAAAGATGCTCCAATCACATGTCATCAGAAAAATTCAAAATAAAACAATGAGATACCACTGGATACCTATCAGAATGGCCAAAATCACAAACACTGACAACACCAAATGCTGGTGAGGACACGCAGCAACAGGACTCTTATTCATTGCTGGCAGGAAGGAATGCAAAAGGACACAGGAATTTGGAATACAGTCTACCAGTTTCTCAGGAAAAAAACATACATAGTCTTACCATGAGACCTAGCAATCATCCTCCTTGGTTATTAATATTTGCCAAAGAAGCTAAAAATGGCCACACAAAAACCTGCACATGAATGTTTACAGAAACTTCATTCACAACTACCAAAACTTGGGAGAAATCAAGATGCCCTTCAATAGGTGAATGAATAAATAAAATATGATATATTCATACAATACAATATCATTCAGTGCTATCAAGACACAAAAATACATGGAGAAACCTTAAATGCACATTACTAAGTGAAAGAAGCCAATGTGAAAAGGCTATATATTGTATGATTCCAACTACATGACATCTGGAAAAGACAAAACTATGGAATAGTTTTGGATGGAGGGATGAATAGGTGGAGCACAGAGAATTTTTAGGGCAGTAAAAATACTCCATATGGTATTGATATTGTAATGATATATACATGTCATTATAACTTTGTCTAAACCCATAGAATGTACAACATCAAGAGTGAATCCTCATATAAATTATGGACATCAGGTGACTATGTATGTCAATTTAGCTTCATCAATTGTAATAATTGTACCACTCTGGTGGGGGATGGAGGAGGCTATGCACGTGGTGGGGAGAGGGGATATATGGGGATCTCTGTACCTCCCTGTTAGCTTTTCTGTGAACCTAAAACTTAGCTAAAAAATGAAATATTAAACTTAAAAAATAAAGTGAGGTAAAAACTAACCAGAGGAAAACAGCTCATTTTGCTTTAACAAAGGAATGAACGTGAAAGTATTGGCAAACTCAACTAAGGAAGTTTACAGTAAGAAGGGTAGAACATACTGTAAGACTGGCCTTATCAGGAGGGGTCTAACATAGATAATAAAGACTGTGGTCAGGAAAAGTAGCTGATTTTTCAGCGATAAATCTGAGAAGTCTAGTTTATATAAAGTAACTTCTTACAGTAAATTTTACTTATATGAATCTCAGCTGAGCTAAAGTTGATTTCTTCACTATTTAATTCGGTGACTCCATACTAAACAATCTAGGAAGGGTCCAGTAATAAAAATATACAGTACAAATAAGAGTGAAGACATACAAAGGAATGCATAATCTATTTAAGAGAAAAAACTGCTTTAAAAAAATTTAGCATATGAGTTGTCAGTACTTAGGTAGATACTGCTCATCTATAACCACAGGAATTTTGGAACAGAAAGGACCTTTAAAAATTATCCAGTCCAGCTTTTAAAATTTTACAGATGAGGAAAATAAAGCTTTGAGAAGTGAAATAAGTTGCCATTGCCTATGGTAAACCAAAAGTTATTGAAATAGCTGAACCTATAATTCAATTCTTGAGTCCTCTCATTGAATTCGGCACTTAATTTTTTTTTTACAAGTTAGTCTAATCTATTTATTAAATCAGGTTCTAACTTCTACATGAAAATGTTGCTAGAGGATGCTCTCTATTACTACATTTACTTGAAAACAATGAAGGTATATTTTGAAAAGTGTTGTGTAATTTCTCATTAATTCAAACAGGATTCCGTCCCTTACCCTGTTCCTCAACTGGTTTTAATGTGTGTTGTTTTACTGTATGCCACAATTAAGAGGAATATGAAGCACCTTTAAGTCCAGTGTTGAAGATATTATAAATAACTAATATTCAGTCATTTAAATAAATTGAGTGTCAATTGTGTGTCAGATACTGCTCTAGGTTTCAGTGATACAAAGATAAATACAAATATAGTCCTAGCCCTCAAGGCACTCTTACAATCTAGTAGCTATCATGGTTTAGTCCTTTTTTTAAAAAAGCTTCTTATTGTTGAAAACTTCAAAGATGTCCAAATGTTAACAGACAAGCATAATGAATCCCTCTGTACCTATCACACAGCTTCAATAATTATTAACTCATCAATCTTATCTCCTTGATACTTCCACCCACTTCTTCCTCTCCAACATTATTTTGAAGCAAATTCCAGATATCACATTATTTCAACTATACATATTTCAAGATGTGTCTGTAAGAGATAAGCAATAGTTTTAAAAAACAACCACACTACAATTATCATGTCTAAAAGTTAATTTCTTAATGCCAGCAAATATTTGGTCATTATTCAAAATTCCAATTGCTTCATCTTTTGTTTTGTTTGAGATCCCTTCTAATGGATTTATGAAGTCTATAAAGAAAAGGCAAAATGCAATTGGATAAAATCTGCATTATGAAAAAGACAGTTATAAGGCATCTGTCCTATGTTATCTCAGTCAAAGATATTTCCAAAGAATTTATCTGAAAAAATATATTACCTCCAGTTGCAAAAGTCAAGTAGAGAGAACTATTACAGAGTTCTTGTCTAAGCAGAGAATGCAGAGATGGCTGATATGTCTCTGAAAGTTATCCCTAATTAACACCCTGAGCAGAGTTTTCTCTCAAATAATCAGGAGGTAGTGAGTTTTGTGAATGAAAAATTAGTGACCAAAGTCTTCGACGAACTGTTAAGTTTTAATATCTTATGCCAAGAAATGCACAGAAATATATTTGGTCGTATGCATGGCAACATATTTGAATACTCCCTGCTGACCTGATATAGAATCATAACCAACAAGAAATCAAGGTTATATGTTCTGTGGGAAAGTAAGAGATACGTCTATATTTGAGTCATCTGTTAAGAAAGGGGCAAGAGATACAATATCATAATTCTACCACAGATAACATTATTGAGGGCTTATTAAGTTCCTGACACTCCAAATGTTTTACATGTATTAACTTATACTCTGGTTTCTCTGCAGATCATATAAGCCTTTCGCCTTTTAGAAGTTTTAACTCATTGAGTCATCAGAGCAACCCAAAGACATAAGTACTACTATTTTTCCCACTTTACAGATGGGGAAACTGAAGCTCAGAAAAGTTAAGAAATGTGCCTAAGGATACACATCTAACAAGTAGCAGAGCCAGGATATGAACCCAGGAAGACTGACCCCAAAGCCTGTGTTGACCTTACACACTAAACTAAGTATCTCTTAATATACAGTTTATATTGTAAGTTATTATAATTTGTCTAATGGCAAAAACATTATTTTTGATGAAATAACTCACTTATCTTCAGATTCCGGCATTTCAGCAATTTTTGGAAAAACAAGATGAATCAAACATCTGTATGATAAAGTAATATAGAAAGTGATTCTTAGGTTAGGAAGAAACGTGTGAATGAATATATACCAAATTATTAACCTTGATTACTCTGGGAGGGAAAAGAGCAGGTAAAGGGGGGATTAATCTTATTTTACGTATATGTATTTTATTGTTTTAATGGTTGCAATGAAAACATTCCAACTTTATAATTTTGAAAGAGGAATTTAATAAAATAATTTAAAAACAAAAGTGTTGCTTATAACAAATTCTTTTTTTTTTTTTGAGACAGAGTCTTGCTCTTTCATCAGGCACCAGACTGGAGGGCAGTGGCGTGATCTTGGCTCACTGCAACCTCCGCCTCCCGGCTTCAAGCAATTCTCCTGGCTCAGCCTCCCGAGTAGCTGGGACAACAGGTGTGTGCCACCACGCCCAGCTAACTTTTGTATTTTAGTAGAGACAGGGTTTCACTATGTTGGCCAGAATGGTCTCAGTCTCTTGACCTCGTGATCTGCCCACCTCTGCCTCCCAAAGTGCTGGGATTACAGGCGTGAGCCACCACGCCCAGTCATAACAAATTCTTAAATGGTTCCACAGTTTATATCATTGTTCAAAAACACCTGCTAGAACATCAGGTATGATAAATCAGTCTTTATATATATGGTTTTTTTTTTGTAAAGAAACTGGAACTGTCCTTTGGGACTCAAACTAAAATCACTGTTCTTTGAAGGGATCTAGCAGCATAATGACAAGCAGACAAAATAAGGTAGCTGGTAAAGTTTTAAAACCTAAAAAGCTTTAAAAAATACTGTCTGTCCTGAATGATGTTTAAATATTTACCTTACTGAAGGCATGCAAATATCTCAAGACTCCTCTGACACTTATTTATGTGACTCCATTTCCCTTTGGAAATGTGGCCTCAAGTGTAATTGACTAAAAGGAGAACCACTCTAGAGTACTGCTGGTTTCTCATTTCTCACAGTGGCATTTTCTCAGTCATACCATTAAGTATTTATCAAATCCCAACCTCACTCTCCTCTGCCTCACTTTTTTATGTAAAAGTTCTCTTGATCTCAATAGCACTATTTTGGCAAAGTTTATTGACCAAGAGTAAGATGAGCAGAGGAAATCCTTTCTCTTCCACAGGATGTAGGTTACTTACTTTGTAGCTGTAAGAACTTTTTCTTGGTCTTCTGAACGTTGAGCCAAATATTCCAAAGCTTTTTCTGCCACAATTTGTTGTCCATTCTAAAAACAACAAATATGTTAAATTACATCTCAAAGTGATACTGCAAAATGCTATCTATATTCCTGTTTACTAAAGAAGATTCAATGCTATTCCCATCAAGCTACCAATGACCTTCTTCACAGAACTGGAAAAAAACACCTTAAACTTCATATGGAACCAAAAGAGAGCCCGCATAGCCAAGTCAATTCTAAGCAAAAAGAACAAAGCAGGAGGCATCACACTACCGGACTTCAAACTATACTACAAGGCTACGGTAATCAAAACAGCATGGTACTGGTACCAAAACAGAGATATAGACCAATGGAACAGAACAGAGGCCTCAGAGGAAATACAACATACCCACAACCATCTGATCTTCGACAAACCTGACAAAAACAAGCAATGGGGAAAGGACTCCCTGTTTAATAAATGGTGTTGGGAAAACTGGCTAGCCATGTGCAGAAAGCCGAAACAGGACCCCTTCCTGACACCTTACACCAAAATTAACTCAAGATGGATTAAAGACTTAAACATCAGACCTAATACCATAAAAACCTTAGAAGAAAATCTAGGCAAAACCATTCAGGACATAGGTGTAGGCAAGGACTTCATGACCAAAACGCCAAAAGCAAGGGCAACAAAAGCCAAAATAGACAAATGGGACCTAATCAAACTCCACAGCTTCTGCACGGCAAAAGAAACAGTCAGTGGAGTGAATCGGCAACCAACAGAATGGGAAAAAATTTTTGCAGCCTACCCATCTGATAAGGGGCTGATATCCAGAATTTACAAAGAACTAAAGCAGATCTACAAGAAAAAAACAAACAAGCCCATTCAAAAATGGGCGAAGGATATGAACAGATACTTTACAAAAGAAGACATACAGGAGGCCAACAAACATATGAAAAAATGCTCATCATCACTGGTCATCAGAGAAATGCAAATCAAAACCACATTGAGATACCATCTCACACCAGTAAGAATGGCGATCATTAAAAAATCGGAAAACAACAGATGATGGAGAGGATGTGGAGAAATAGGAACACTTTCACACTGTTAGTGGGAATGTAAATTAATTCAACCATTGTGGAAGACAGTGTGGCAATTCCTCAAGGACCTAAAAATAGAAATCCCATTTGACCCAGCAATCCCATTACTGGGTATATATCCAAAGGATTATAAATCATTCTACTACAAGGACACGTGCACACGAATGTTCATTGCAGCACTGTTTACAATAGCAAAGACCTGGAACCAACCCAAATGCCCAACGATGATAGACTGGATAGGGAAAATGTGGTACATATACACCATGGAATATTACGCAGCCATCAAAAACGATGAGTTCACGTCCTTTGTAGGGACATGGATGAACCTGGAAACCATCATTCTCAGCAAACTGACACAAGAGCAGAAAATCAAACACCGTATATTCTCACTCATAGGCGGGTGTTGAACAATGAGAACACATGGACACAGGGAGGGGAGCACTACACACTGGGGTCCGTTGGGGGGAAATGGGGGAGGGGCGGGGGGTGGGGAGGTGGGAAGAGATAGCATGGGGAGAAATGACAGATACAGGTGAGGGGATGGAAGGCAGCAAACCACACTGCAATGTGTGTACCTATGCAACAATCTTGCATGTTCATCCCATGTACCCCAAAACCTAAAATGCAATTAAAAAAAAAAAAAAGAAAAATATCTAAACATGTTCATTTTGTATTCTCAAAAAAGCTACTGCAAGATGGCCAAATGAAGATACAACTCACTGACAAAAACAGAACACATTGGTATTAGCCCCAGAAACCCATTCAAACACTCAAAGCCTTGCCAATACTACCCTTAATCCACTAGGACAAATCTTATTGTGGTCTTTAGTTTCCATTTATTAGCAGTAAATAAAAGACCTCCAGATTGTCAGGTCTTTTTCCAGCACTCTATTCACAAAAGTCTCCACATATCTCCTCTTCTGTACTCTTTTTCTATCTCTCCTGAACTCATCTAACCCTTCCACTATGCTCTCTGAAATTCAGTCCACTCAGCAAAATCTCCTCTACTAGCAACCTCTTCCCTCAACTTAGGTCCCTCCACATTCTTGCTCTAATGGAAATCTAAGTTTCTGCCAAGGATGCTGCTTCCACTGAAGCCCTCTTAAGAGTGGTGGCTGTTTTTGCTCTCACTAGCTTTCCCTTAGGCCTGGAGATGGAGTAGTGTCTTTCTTGCTCTTCATTGCCATTTAAAAATTATTCTCCCATTCTATTCCCTAAAATTCTGAACTTTCAATTTCCTATAACCAGACTATATCACCCACCCCTTCATTGTTGCTGTGGCCTACTAGCTCCCAGGCCATGTCTTTTCATTTTTTTTTTTTTGTGACGTACCTATTGCTCAGTTATTTTTTTGCAAAAACTGCCCACCTTAATTTTTGGCATTTTCTTTCTCTCTCTCTCTCTTTTTTTAAACACAGAGTCTTGCTTTTGTCATCCAGGCTAGAGTGCAATGGTGCAATTTCGGCTCATTGCAACCTCTGCCTCCTGGGTTCAAGCAATTCTCCTGCCTCAATCTCCAGAGTAGCTGGGATTACAGGTGCCCACCACTATGTCCAACTAATTTTTGTATTTTTAATAGACAGGTAGTTTCACCGTGTTGGCCAGGCTGGTCTCGAACTCCTGACCTCAGGTGATCTGCCTGCCTTAGCCTCCCAAAGTGCTGGGATTACAGGCGTGAGGCACATGCCTGGCAAATTTTCAGCATTTTCAATATATTGGTAGAGGATCCTCCCAATATTCTAGTCTCTGAGTTTCTAAAATTTTACTCTAACAATTACCTTAGCCATTCACTTCCACAGTCATTCACTAGACTGTCATTACTAACAATTGCAACCCTTTCATACTCTCAGTCAGGGTTAGGACTACGGTGGGACAGAGAGGTGAGTGAAGCACCTAGGGTGCAAAATTTAAGGAAGCTCTCAGTGTTGTACAAGTACCAAGCCTTTACTTGTACCACCCATACAATAGGCTCCTCCTTAAGTATTGTGCCCTAGGCATCTCACTCCCTTCCCCTAGTTCTCCATCCTAGCTCTTACATTCACATATTCTACTTTCTGTCTACCACCTCTTACCTTTCCAACTTGATCCCTCTATTATCCTGACTCCAGCAATCTTTCTACTGCAGTAAGACCCCAACCCACTGATGCTACCAGTTTTTCACTGTCTCTCATCCCTTTGAGGTTCTACTGCATACCCAGTTTAAATTCCATGGGGACTAATTATAACCACTCTCTTTTTTTTTTTAATTTTCCTGCCCTTCTTTTGCTTTATTGTATTCATCTGGCAAAGCCCCAAGTCTGATTAAGTCCAACTTTCTACTGATTTTGGTGCTTACATCCAATCAGATGAATGTGGCCAGAAAAAAAAATACATACAATCATTTCTTTTGTTTTAAAACATCATGAAATGGCCTTAATGCTACTGGCAAGCATATCACAGTTCCGTAGTCATTCACTTTCTTACTTTCCGGGATGAATAGTTAATACTTTATCCCTTCTTCTCAACTGCCTAATATCTCCTCTCCTGAGCTCATCATTTGAGACTAAGAATGGGTGGGAGAAAAGAGGAACTAGCAAAGGAGAAAAAGTGACTTGTGAGGTAGGATGAAAATAAGAATAATGTGGTGTCCTAGAAGCCAACTGTGTTTCAAGGAAGAAAGGGTGATAAACTGCACTGAATGTTGCTGGTAGGTCAAATACAATGAGGACTGAGAATTAATCACCGCAATTTACAGTACAGAGGTCATTGGTGAACTTGACAAAAGCAGTTTTGTTAGAGTGGTAGGGCAAAAGCCTGATTAGAGCAAGCTCAAGAGAGAACTGGAGACAGTAAAAATAGACAACTCTTTAGGAGTTTAACTACAAAGGGAAGAAGAGAAACTGGGGAGTAGTTGGTGAGAGAAGGAAAGTCAAGAGGTTTTTATTTGCTTCATATGGGATAAATGAGCATGTTCACATGCGAATGGGAATAAACCAGTAAATAAAAAGTTGACAAAGTGAGAAAAAGGCAAGAGGTGATAGAAACAAGTATGTAAGTTTAGAGACTGGCTTTAGGAAGGAAGATGATAGCTCATATATGGTAGCAGTTGAGAAGGCAGACTATGTGGTATGATTCCTAGTATGTGAGTAGAGGTGATAGTAGGAATCTGTGTAAGTTCTCTTTCTGACTGCTTCAGTTTTCAGAACCTAAAATATCCACATTACCTCTTGGGAGGTGGGGGAATGAATTCTGTAAAGGGATTTAAAGATAAGGTAGCTTATTTTAAAAGAAGAGAAAGCAGTGTTTTACCTGCTTAATACCCCACTCACTACCCTTGTCTCGACTCTCATTATTTTAAAACTGAATTATTATCACAGCCTCCCACTGGGTCCTACATACACCTTCTCCCCATGCATTTCCCCATGCACAACCCAAATTATTTTAGTAAGCACTACTTTTACATAAATTACCATCAATATTTTCTTATTGCTTAGAGAATAAAATGTATATATAATCTTGTCACAGCTATTTCTTCTACTTTATTTTATACTCTCCCCTATAGCATCATCATAATAATAAAAGTCATGGCCGGTACTGTGGCTCACACCTGTAATTCCAACACTTTGGGAGACTGAGACAGGCAGACTACTTGAGGCCAGGAGTTCCAGACCAGCCTGGCCAATATGGTGAAACCCTATCTCTACCAAAAATACAAAAATTAGCCAGGCGTGGTGGCACACACCTGTAATCCCAGCTACTTGGGAGGCTGAAGCACAAGAATCGCTTGAACCTGCGAGGCAGAGGTTACAGCGAGCCGAAATTACAACACTGCACTCAAGCCTGGGTGACAGAGAGAGACTTTGTCTCAAAAAAAAAATAAAAATAAAGAAAGAGAGAGAGAGAGAGAGAGAGAGAGAGAGAGAGAGAGAGAGAGAGAAAAGAAAAAAAGCCACTATTACATTAAGCAAAATATCTGAAATGGTGGACACATAAGCCCTCCATGACTTTAACCAAATACTGTCTCTCAAACCAATCACATTTTTTCTCCATCTCTTGCTTATACCATCCCTTCCTTTTAAAAAACGTTCTTACTTATGTAAATGCTACCCTTTCCAAAGCCAAACTTAAGGTTTCCTTCCACTGTAGAGACTTCTCAAATAAATTCCAGTTCTCATTCTGTCTCTTCCTACTCTAAATTTCAGTAATTTTTAATATATATATTAGTTATTTCGTCTTTATTCTATATACTTACATAGAATTCTATATTCCATAGCCTTAATTTCCTAATGCATGGCTTGTCTATTCAAATTGACTTGTGAGACCCTGGAGGAACATATTTCTAGCATCTAGCCCAATATATTGCCCAAAGTAGTTGCTAAATACAGTTTGAATGATATGTGTTTTAATGTCAATGAGTAGGGTAATAGAACTGAAGGAAGAAAATATTTGGCAGATGCAGATATAGGCTGTATTTGTGCAGAATGGGGGAAAAGATGAAAGAAAGGAAACACAAAGACAATTATCTTTTCAAAGGAAGGTTTACAAATTTACATTTGATGTAGAAAGCTGAAGAGAACTAGTGGAAGAATTATGGAACTATAGTTCTGATCAGGAAGATGGTTTTCCTATTTAAAGTAGTTTAAAAAAGGAGATAAACATAATAGTTTATAAGTCACATTTTCAGCTACCTTAATCAATTTTTGTAACAATCCTGGAGATAGGTGTTATCTTTATTTTGCAAAGGATGAAATTAAGATTTGAAGAAGTACCTATTAAATGGCAGAGCCAGTATTCAAACCTAGTCTAAGAGCTCCACAGGTGCTACTATGCTTTTCCTAATTCAATATATTAATAAAATCAGAATTCTGTAACAAACAGGGATATAAGTATTTATTACTTCTAAACTATTATTATTTTGTGGTTGTAAACTCAAAGGATCCACAGAAATTTAAACCATTTTGTTCAAATTGATGAGAAAGATAAGTTTCCAAATAGATAGCTATTTATTGTCATCGTATGGCATTTTGAACTTGGAGTTTCTTTTAAAAATTAATGTTTTGCTATGTTTATGTTGTTTTGAGCACAACTCTGTTACCTCACTCACTGTTTCATTTACTTTAGTCTGTTATTATAATGAAATAAGAAGAAATAAAGCAGTTCTGCAACCAAGTTTGACATAAAAATATGAGGCAAAGCAAACAGTAAAGGTCTCTTCTCTAACTGATAACGATTTTACTAACTGTCTTTTAAAAAGGAAAAAGGGTAAAAATCTACCAGATGAATACATATAAATTACCTCTAGAGCAAACTGGGCAGCTAAACTTAGAAGCATGATAGATGAACCTCTCTCTGCAGTTACATCATTATCTTCTGATTCTTCATCTGCTAATATATCCTCTAAAGTAATTATTGCCTGCAAAGCTGAAAAATAAGAAAACAATTCAAAAATGAAATACTCTAATCAAAGAAATGACATTATCTATGGTTAATTATGCCACAATGAGTTTGGAACTTATTTTAAAAACATTATTATCTTTAAAATATTAGTTAGTATTCATAAAGCAATGTGAGTTGCTAAATTGTCAAAGAGGATTTGTACACCAGAAAAATACCTAACTGAGCAACTGCACTTCTGTGAATTCATCTTGTGGATATATTTGCAAAAGTAAAGAAATATATACAAGAATGTTCATCCAGCATTGTTTATAAGAGTAAAATATAGAATCACCCTAAATTCCATCATAATGAATGGGCTAAACACACTTTGGTATACCCATAAAATGAAATATAATACGGAATAAAATAAAAAATTGAGTAGCTGTGTGTTTTATTCTACTATATGTCTTAAAGGTGGAATATGACAAGTTAAATATATGCACTATAGACTTTAAGCAACAAATAAATATATGTTCTAGCTAATAAGCAAAAAGGGAGATAAATGTAATCATAAAAATTCAATTAATTAAAAAGAAAGCAGAAAAAAAATAACAAATGGGACAAACAGAAGATAGTTAACAAGATGCTAAATTTAAATCTAACCATGACAATAATTATAAATATAAATGACCAATGAAAAGGCAGAGATAGTAAGACTGAAAACAAAACAAAGGACAACTTTTAAATATATGCCACCTACAGGAAATTCACTTTTTTTTTTTTGAGACAGAGTCTTGCTCTTGTCACCTAGGTTGGAAAGTAGCGGTACGATCTGGGCTCACTGCAACCTCCACCTCCCGGGTTCAAGTGATTCTCCAGCCTCAGCCTACTGAGTGGCTGGGATTACAGGCGTCTGCCACCACACCCAAATAATTTTTGTATTTTTAGTAGAGATGGGGTTTCACCATGTTGGCCAGGCTGGTCTCGCACTCCTGACCACAAATGATCGACCTGACTCGGCCTCCCAAAGTGTTGGGATTACAGGCGTGAGCCACCATGCCTGGCCAAGAAATACACTTTAAATATAAAAACAAAATTGATTTAAAGAAGAGGATGGGATAATATACACTAAAGTGAAGGTAATCAAAAGAAAGCTGAAGTGGCTATATTAATATGAGATAAAGTGAGTTTCAGAGCAAAGAATATTATTGGCAATAAAAGGTTATTTCAAGACAATAAAGGAATCAGTTTATCATGAGGACGTAACTCTAAATGCTTATGCACTCAATAAAATTTCAAAATATAAGAAGCAAAAGCTGGTAGAATTGCAAGGAGAAATGAACAAATCCACAATTATAGTTAAAGATTTCAATATCCTCTCTCAGTAACTGATAGAACAAATAGAAAATAAGCAAGGATACAGCACACTTAACACTAAATCAATTTGATGTGACTAACTTTAATGCACTCAACCCAACATCAGCAAAATGTACATTCCTCTCAAGTGCACATGAAATATTTACCAAGAAAAACAATATTCTGGGCCCCAGAACAAGTCTCAATATATTTAAAAGAATTAAAGTCATACAAAGTATGATCTTTGACTACAATGAAATGAAATTAAAAATCAACAAAAGAATGTTCTCTGGAAAATCTGCAAATATTTGGAAAATAAGTAACATACATCTAAATAATCCACAAGTTTAAAAAGGAATCAAAAGTTAAATTGGAAAGTATTTTGAATTGTATTAAAATGAAAACATGACATATCAAAAATTTCATATTATCACTAAAGCAGTAATTAGATGATAATTTGTAGCATTAACTGTCCAAATAGACCAGAATTAAGGTCTTAATGACCTCAGTGTTCAACTTTGGAAATAGGAAAAAGAAGAGCAAATGGAACTCAAGGAAAGCTGAAGAATAGATATGAAAAAGATCAGAATGTAAATAAATTAAATAGAAATCAGATAAAAACAATAGAGGCCAAGGTAGGAGGATTGTTTGAGCCCAGGAATTTGAGACTAGCCTGGGCAACATGGTGAGACCACGTATCTACAAAAAAATTTTTAAAATGAGCTAGATAAGGCCAGGCGCGGTGGCTCATGCCTGTAATCCCAGCACTTTGGGAGACCGAGGTGGGTGGATCATGAAGTCAGGAGATCGAGACCATCTGGCTAACATGGTGAAACCCTGTCTCTACTAAAAATACAACAAATTAGCCAGGCGTGGTGGCACTCTCCTGCAGTCCCAGCTACTCAGGAGACTGAGGCAGGAGAATTGCTTGAACGCAGGAGGCAGAGGTTGCAGTGAGCTGAGATCACACCAATGCATTCCAGCCTGGGCAACAGAGTAAGACTCTGTCAAAAAAAAAAAAAAAAAAAAAAGGAGCTAGGTGTAGTGGCATGCACCTGTGGTCCCAGCTACTCAGGAGGATGAGGCAGGAGGATAAACTGAGCCTGGGAGGCCAAGGCTGTAGTGAGCTGTGTTCGTTTTTTGTTTGTGTGTTTGTTTGTTTTTGAGACTATCTCAAACAAACAAACAAACAAAAAATAATAGAGAAAAAAATCAGTAAAACTAAAAGCTGGGTTCTTTGAGAAGATCAATAAAACTGACCTCTACATTGACTGATCCTCTAGTTACACTGACCAGGAAGAAAAATAGAGAAGACATAAATTACAAATATCAGGAATAAGAAAGGTCACACCACTGTAAGTTTTACAGATGTTAAAAGGACGATATGGGTGATATTATGAACAACTTTAGGCCGACAATTTCAACAACTTAGATGAAACAAATTTTTGAAAGACACAAACGACCAAAGCTAAATTAATAAATGATAGATAACTTGAATAGCCCCATATCTATTAAAGACATTTAATTTATAATTAAAAACCTTTCCATTAAGAAAACTCCGGTCCCAGATGGCTTCACTGGTGAAATTTACCAAAAACATTTAAGGGAGAAATACTATCAATTCAACACAAACTCTTCCAGAAAACTGAAGAGGAGAATGTATTTCCCAATTCATCCTATGAAGTCAGTATTACTCTGATAGGCAAAACCAGAAACATTACAGGAATATAAGACTACAGACCAATTTCACTTATGAACATAGATACACATATTCTAAACAAACCGTCAGCAAATCAAATCATAAAAAGAAAAGTATATATCATGATCAAATGGGGCTTATTCCAGAAATACAGCACTGGTTTAACATTTGAAAATCAGTTAATATAACTGACTATATTAGCAAACTTTTTAAAAATTGGTCATTTCAACAGATTCAGAAAACCATATGACCAAATTCAACATCCATTCCTTCCCGCCACCGCGCACCAAACAAACAAACAAACAAACAAACAAACAAAACTCCCAAGAAACAAGAAATAGAATGGAACTCCCTCAACCTGATAAGGGATACCTGTGAAAAATCTACAGCTAACATACTTACTGGTAAAAGACTAAATGCTTTCCCCCTAAAATCAGGAAAAAGATGAGGACATCCATTCTCATCAATTTTATTCAACATTTTACTGGAGAATCTAAAAGGAGGAACATAGCAAGAAAAAAAAATAAACTACACCCAGATTGAAAAAGAAGTGAAACTATCTTTATCCACAAACAACATGAGTGTCTATTTAGAAAATCTGATGGGGTTGGTCCGGTAGCTCATGCCTGTAATCCCAGCACTTTGGGAGGCCAAAGTGGGAGGACTGCTTGAGGCCAGGAGTTCAAGACCAGCTTGGCCAATGTGGTGAAATCCCAATTCTACTAAAAATACAAAAATTAGCCGGATGTGGTGGTGCATGCCTGTAATCCCAGTTTCTTTGGAGGCCGAGGCATGAGAATCACTTGAACCCAGGAGATGGAGGTTGCAGTGAGCCAAGATAGTATCACTGCACTCCAGCCTGGGTGACAGAACAAGACTCTGTCTCAAAAAACAAGCAAAACAAAAATAAAATCCAATGGAATCTAGAAGGAAGGTACTGCAACTAATAAGTGAGTTTCCAAACTCGTAGGATATAAGATCAATATATAAGAAATCATTTGTATTTCTATATATCAGCAATAAGCAATCAGAAACTGAAATTTTTAAAATGCCACTTAAAATAGCATAAAATATAGTATACTTAGGGATTAATCTGACAAAAGATGTGCAAGACAGATACAATGAAAAGTAGAAAATATTGCTGAGAGAAATTAAAGACCTAAATAAATGGAGGTATGTAAGTTGTTCATGGTTTGGAAGACTCAGCAATGTTGTTAGGATGTCAGTTATCCCCAAGCCGATCTATAGATTCAATGTAATCCCAATCAAAAATCATTTATGCAAGACTTAAAATACTGATTCTAAAATTCATATGGATATACAACAGCCTTGGAATAGCCAAAACAATTAGAACGAGAACAAAGTGGGAGGACTCACACTACATGACTTCAAATTTATTACATGGTTACATTAATAAAGACCGTATGGGAATAGTGCAAGGATGGATGAATAGAAGAATGGAATGGAATAGAGTCCAGAAAGAGATCCACACATATATGACAACTAATTTCTGATAAAGGTACAAAGGCAATTCAATCAAGAAAGAATAGTTTGTTAAACAGATGATGCTAGAACAATTGGATAGCTCTGTGCAAAAAAATAATAATAATAAACTTCAATCTATACCTTGAATCAAATACAAAAATTACCTAAAGGTGGTCATAGACATAAATGTAAAACTAAAACTGTAAAATTTCTTGAAGAAAACATGAGATGTTTTCTGTCACCTTGCACTAGGCCAGGCATCTCCAAACTTTTTACACAGGGGGCCAGTTCACTGTCCCTCAGATCATTGGAGGGCCGCCACATACTGTGCTTCTCTCACTGACCACCAGTGAAAGAGGTGCCCCTTCCTGAAGTGCAGCGGGGGGCCGGATAAATGGTCTCAGGGGGCCACATGCGGCCTGCGGGCCATAGTTTGGGGACGCCTGCACTAGGCAAAGATTTCTTAAATACAATGCCAAAGGCACAATCCATAAAAGAAGAAAAA